ATAATTTTCGGGTTATCGTTAAATTTTAGACCGTTTTTGGTGAAAATCTGAAACAATGTGAGTTGCAAAAAGTTTATTAAGACATTTGATGTCATGATTTAACACCCTGTAAAATTTTGACTATTTTAAAACTATCCTTGTATTTTAAATAAATGCGTTTTAAACCTCGTTTTGATTTTTTTCAGTTTTTAAAAAGTGGGGTTGAATTCGGTGAAACTAGTGATCAAAAATTAAAATTTAGAGATACGTATAAAGTTTTTCGGTAAGCTAGTCAAAAGACAGACAATTTGAAAATTTTGGTCAATATTTTAGTCAGTTCGCAATTGTTTGGTGACAAAAACGTTTAACTCGAAAAAAGTGACAAGATTTTTTAGTCTTATCAAACGTAGACGGTTTTGATCAACATTTCAGAATTACTATGAACTAAATTCATTTGTAGTGTAAATTTTTAACATAAAAAAATTTTTACCCAAAGTTTCGGACACTCTTTAGAGTTCTAGGAAAAAAATTACGAAAATTTTGTTTGGTCAAATTTAGAAAAATCTGCTTTTTTTAAAATTGTACAAAGTGATTGTTAAAATCGCTGAAGATTTAAAATAATGTTTTCTAAACGCAAAATCGCACGAGATCTGTAAAGCAAAGTTTTCTACGATTGATAATTTTCGGGTTATCGGTTAATTCTAAATCGTTTTTCGTAAAAATCTTAAACAATCTGAGTCGCAAAAAGTTAATTAAGCCATTTGATGTCATGATATAACAGCCTGTAAAATATGGCTATTTCAAAATCAGTCTGTATTTGAAATAAATGCGTTTCAAAACTCGTTCTGATTTTTTTGAGTATTTAACAAGTGGTGTTGAATTCGGTTGAATTCGAAACTAGTGATCAAAAATCAAAGCCAAAAATTCAAATTTAATGATATGTATAAAGTCTTTCGGTAAGCTAGTCAAAAAAGAAACACTTTGAAAATTTTGTTCGCAATTTTTTGGTGACAAAAACGATTAACTCGAAAAAAGTGACAAGATTTTTTAGTCTTATTAAACGTAAACATTTCAGAATTACTATGAACTAAATTTATTTGTACTGTAAAAAATCTTCAAAACACATTTACATAGAAGATTAAAAATGAGCACAATTTAGAAAAGAATTTTTTTTTCAAAATTTTAAAAAATGATGAAACTAGTTTTAAAACGTTTTTTTGGTAATTTTTACTGAGTAATTACTGTACCTGAACATAATTATAAATTACCGCTAATTATTTTATTTACTGCTACTTGAGAGAATTGCGATTTCGTTTTTGTTCGAATTGTCCCGCATTTTTCCGTCCAGTTTCCTGCAATAACTCATTTGTAGAAAGTATCTTCTAATAAATCTAAAATATCCTGTTGACACTTCTCCACTAATGGATTTACAACCCATTCTTGTTTTGAACCACGAAAAAAAAATGCAAAAAACCGCCCGTCTCGCCGTCTGTCCCCCTCATCAAAATTCAACAATTACCGAATAATAAAGTTTTATCTGCAGGAAATCCATCAAAATCCAAAAACAATGGAACAACGACATGCAAGCTTGACGGATCTGAATTCGATTCGCGATTTGAGCGAAGTTAGGCCGTGACAGAAGTCTCTTTTGTTCGACTGATCCACGACAATCCTCCTCGATTTATGTTAACAAGCGATCCGCAATCCGACTTTTCTGCATATTATAATTGGCCGCTGTTGCTGCTGGCGGCCCCACAAAGGAATTTAATAAAGTTATTAACGAGATAATAACAGCCGACCAAACAAAATCCAATTAAAATAAATTTACCACCTGGAAATTATGCGAGGGCCACCTCGGGCCGTTATAAAATATTACAAATGGTCGGGGATCAATTAAGAGAGCACAGGACCGGCTTTCAAGTGTCACTTTCAATCCCAAGGCTGATAAAGTGGAAATGTTGGTGTTTCAGAAAAATTCGATTTTGTGCAATGTGTGGCCCACTTTGGTTTGATTTATCGATCGAGCAGCTACCTACATTACCGATACGGTTATTACCTGCTGTTCTGCCCGGAAATCGTTCAATTTATGCCGCCCGAGACGCCACATTATGTTGGTAATATTGATTTATGAATTATAGTTCCAAGAGATTTTGTAATTGAAACTCGGCTCACGTGTCTCGTGATTAATTACAAATTACGTGACAATTCGACCATTTTTGCGAATATCAWTTCGAGTGTGATGCAAAAGATTTGTCAAAGTCCTAACCGACATTTATAATCATTCAAACTGAATCGCTAATTAATTGGATAAAAGTTTAYTAGTTGTAATTAAGCTTCGCGTCTAATTAATTATTACGTTTAATTCGCTTTATTTTCAAGACTTAATTATAGGCGTTTACAACCAGAGGCCATTTAAATGTCTCGAAAAGTTTAATTACGATATTCGAATGCAAAAAATCGTTCGATGGTGATAGTGTCGTGGAATAATTTAATTAAAATGTTTCTTTATGTTGCATGTTGTAGTTTGTGTTGACAGCTCGATGATTTCTTCCTATTATTATTTTATAAGGTCACACTCTCGACGATAGGAATATCAATTAATCGTAAATCTATCAAACGACTTGTTAATGGACTTGGAACTCTTGTCACTATTTAAGTGAAGAAAAACACAAATCATCCTCAAAGCATTCGCTTACAAAATAATATTTAAAACAAAAGTAAAAAGAAAGTTAATATACAAAACGATTCAAAAACAAGAATTATTCAAAAATATAGAATAATATAAAATAAACAATAAACAATATTTTGGTCAAAATTGTTAGAAAAGTTTGAAAAATCGAAAATTGAAAAAAAAACGTTGCCAGACCGGGGATCAAACCCCAAATTTTCGAGTTTGATGTGTGAGATTTTATTAATATTCTCACAAAATAAATAAACTTTAAATTATATTCAAAATTTATTCAAATAATAAATGTGTTTCATTTTTGCTAATGACAATAATACACACATAAATAGCCTTAAACTTGTAGTGAAACACAAAAGTACAATTATTTAAAAAAAATCGTTCATACCGGGGATCGAACTCCAAATTTTTGAGTTTGATGAGTAAAATCTTATCGTAAATCACTACTATTTCTTTTTATAGAAAGTTTTTGTAATTATTTTAATACTTCCTCAAAATATGTGAGCAAAAATAAATAATCATTAAATCAAAAATTATTCAAATAACAAATTTTGTGCCACGTTTTTGGTAATGACAATAATATCCATAATAATACAGATAGATAGCCTTAAATTTGTCGTAAAACAGAAAAATCTAGTCAAATTATTAAAAAAAAAAAACATTCAGGCCCGGGATCGAACTCCAAATTTTTTAGTTTAACTTGTAAAAATCTTAGTTTTTATAATTATTTTTAATACTTTCTCAAAATGTGTCATATCTTTGTTAATGACAATAATACACATAAGTAGCATAAAATATGTGAAGAAACAGGCAAGTGTAGTCAAATTATTTAAAAAAAAAACATTCAGGTCGGGGATCGAACTCCAAACATTTTAGTTTAATTTGTAAAAATTTTAGTTTTTATAGTTATTTTTAATACTCTCTCAAAGTGTGTGTCACAGCTTTGTTAATGACAATAATACACATAAGTGGCTTTAAATATGTGGAGAAACAGGCAAGTGTAGTAAAATTATTTAAAAAAAAATCGTTTAGACCGAGAATCGAACTTCAAATTTTTGAGTTTAATGTGTGAAATCGTATCATAAATCACAAGTATTTCTAGTAAAAAAAAATTCGTAATTATTTTAATACTCTCAAAACGTGTCAAAAATAAAGAAACTTTAAATTTCCAAAATTTGTTGAACTAACAAATTTTGTGACACATTTTTGTTAATGGCAATCATATACATAAATAGGCTTCAGTTTGCAGATTGAGAGACTGTTCTGAAATTATAAAAAAATGTCGTTCTGACCGGGGATCGAACTTGAAATTTTCGATTTGATTCTTGACACCATGTCATAAATCGATGCATAAACCACTGTCTTTTTATAGTTTAATAATTATTTTTTGAATTTAATGTTTTGTGCGTTGTGGCAAAACAATATAATTTTTTTTTAATTTATTTAAATAAAACACTTTGTAATACATTATTTTTGATAAAAACACACGCAAATAGTCTTAAATTTATAGACAGGTAAACTAAATTTATTCAAATAAATAATTTAAAAGTCACAAACACAATAAAAGTAAAATTGTTTTGCGTCAATTTGTAGATTTTTATTTCTGTTTTGTTTAACATGAAAAAATAAAAAAACACCAAATGTAAATTTTAACTTAAATCGATAAAAGTAATAATTTTCAAATAGAAAGAAAATAAAACAACGCAAAATAATAATGTTTACTTTCAAAGCAACAATATAATTTTTGCACTTTTTAATAACAAAACGATTTAATTAATTGCTAGAATAGTAATTGATTTAATTGTTGGTCATTAAAAGCAATTGATCTTTTTAAAAATATAAAACATGAACTGCGGCCCAATTAGACGAAAAAATTAGTCAAAACTGTTAACTCCTTAACTGTAAAACTGGTAATTTACGTCCGTCGTAGATAAATTTTATGGCAACATATAAAAATTATTCAATTTTTTAACGACGTCCATAAAAACCATGTATAAACCCGAAATATTTTCAATTATCAGATGAATTGTGACAGTTGAGGTCGACGCCTTTGATAAGTCCGTCGGCAAGTCCTCACCTGTGGTCATATTGGGCACACCGAACGGCCCCGGCCCTTGGAACATGGGCCCTGGCCCTGCGAAGGGATTCACCAGGCCCTGATGAGTCCAGTTGGGATGTGCGGCTTGGTAGACAGCTGCTGCGAGTGCCGAAAAGGGCGTCGGTCTGATCGGCCCTTGACTCAACGCCGCCTCTTTGAACTCCCTCTGCTCCTCTTTCACAGGACTCCCTTCCGACTTGTTATCCGAGTTCAAATCCTCCACGTCGACGATGGAGTCCTCCTGGTTGGAGTCGTACTCCTCGTCCGAGGAGGCCTTCGGGCTGGACGCCGTCGCCGTGGAGTTGGGCCTCGTGTCGGCCAAAAGCGACGCCACACTAAAACTGATGTGTCCATTTTTGTTCTTTTCGTTCATCGTTTCACCGTTTTTAGTGTCCAAACTGTCGAAATTTTGGATAGTCATACTTTGGGCACTTTCCGACTGTTTTTTAAGCATGAATGACACTAAACACAACACATAGCACAACTGCTACATCAAGAAGCCTAGGCTGGACTGGCCGAGGCCGGCCGCGAGCGAGACGGCTGTGCTAGAGGCGGGGCTTGGGGGCGGGCCGCGCCAAGCCCCGCCCGCAATTAGAGCGCCTCGCGCCAATGGGGAGTGGGGCGAGTGGAACGGTGCAGCGGACCTGCTCGGGATTGGACGTCTCCAAACGAGGCTCCCACCACAAGCACAAGCTTCGTCTGGACGAGTGGACTCACCTTTATTTCCTTTTCCACACTTTTGTTATTACTATAACTGCAGCTTTAAGAGCTTGCACTTGTTTATGGGCGTTTTAAAGCGGCCTTTCAAATTGTTATAACTTAATTACGAAGTCGAAAGATGGTCTTAGTTATTTCGTATTATTGGCAGTGGGAATTTTTTACGAGCTTTGCTTAGCTTTCATTTCGAGACACTTAACAACCTTATTAAAGATAATTGTTGGAATTTTTTAAACACGACACGAAAGAGATTCCTCATTGGCTAAAAACCTTGCTAATTATTCGATTGTTAACAGAGGCTTTCGATCAAAAGTGAGACAGACGATGCGGAAGCAACGGGAGTGAGGGAGACAAAAATGTGTTTCCATGGTAATCGGTGCAATTTATCCGTCGGGAGTACTTCCTTTGTTACGTTATTTTATAGCTTAACAAAACAATAATCTTCCATTGCAGCACTGTTGACCTCGGTATTTAACACTCTCATTAGAACCTTATAAAATTTAATGTCACAATCATGATCCTCGTTTTTCCATACCATTATCACGAATTTTCTTTGCGCAAATGCCAAAAATCGATTATTTCACCGCGTGGAATACTACAAACAAGGATATAAAATTAGCACAATTTACAAAACTTGACTTGACCGCAAATTAGATTTGTTTACAGACGATTGGATAGTTTTATAGCCACGTTTTGTCAAATATTTTGCATGGGTCGTAAAAATGACATTAGGAAACGCAACTTGAATAGTAAATATTTTACGTAACACAAGTGTGACAAATTTATTATCAGAATTTGTCTAATTTATGGTAATTTGTGATTGCTAAAACCGAAAATGAAATAACTATAAAGTTTTGCGCACGTTTTATACTAAAATTATCACAATTTTTAAAATATAACTGCGAAATATTATTTACACCGGAAATTGTACAAAATTATCAAAAAATATTCAATTTTTTTACAGTTTTGATAATTTTTTAAAACACTTAGGAAGAAAGTCGTAATTTACTAAATTATGCTCTATACAAATACAAATTTGATCACTATTTTAATAATGCGTAACCGCATTTTCTGCTTTGTCATAATCTGTTATTTTCCCTCTTTGTTTGTTTAGTATAAACACATTCTTGTCTAAGAAAGAAGGATAACATTGTAGGAAAACTTATTTTCTGTTTTACTGAAAGTTTTACTAGAAACAAAAATTTTGTTGATAAAATACTTAATCAGTGTCACTAGTAATTCTTGACCAAATTTTTGAAAAAAAAATTTGTTTTGAATAGGTAAATTTACGTTGTTTTTATAAGAAAATCACAACATTCCAAAGATTTTGCCAAAACCGAACAAAAAATTGCAAAAATTATTTTCAGAAATGCTATATTTCTTCTTGTATTTATAAATCTCAAACGTGTAAAAAAAACGTTTGTGTAAAAAAACAAAATGTTATCGAATTTAAAAAATACTAAAATAAAGTGGAAAACTACAAAATACGTCATTTTCACGCGGTTTTTTTTATAAATTTAAGACGTTTCTTTACAGAAAAAAAGAAACTAACTAAATACCAGAAATTTCGTGAAAACAAATTAAAAATTTGCAAAATTAGTTATATAAAAAATGTGCTATTTTCTCTGAATTTGATGAAGATCTTTAATAAAAAAGTCTTAAAACTGAGAGATTTTGTCAAAACAAAGTAAAAAGTCACAAAATCATTCCTAGAAATGTTAATTTTGATTGCTTTTGTAAGTGTAAAACGTTCCTTACTTACAAATTTACTGAATGTACAAATTAAAGCGTCAAAACAAAGTCAAAAATTGCAAAATTTGATCAAACTTTCAGATTTTCTGTTAATATTAAATTGTGTAATTTTGCAATATGTCATTTGAAGGCGCGTTATTTTCGATTTTTTGTTAAAATTTACTCAGAAACATTTAGATTTTTTTTTTAAATGCCAAATTAAAGTAAAAATTAGCAAAATTAGCCTTAATTTTTGTTTTTTTTTATAAATTTGGACCGTTTTTCCGAAAAAACGTATTGAATTCAAAAAATTTTTACAAAACAAAATTTCACAAAACGATAAAAAAATTAACAAAATACATACATGACGCGATTTATTGAGCCTCTCGGTACAACAATTGCAAAAAAAGCTTGTTTGTCTTGCAGTTACAACTTTTAAAAAAGTCAAAAGCTTCTACATATTTTATGTAATTAAACTTAAAAAAAAATTATACCTACTAATTATAAAATTAGTTAGTTTGACGGGAGGTTGTCAAGTTGTTTTTATTTCCTAATTGGTCAATAATCATTTTCATTATTGACCAAGGGCAATAATGGGTTAGAGCTGGGAAATACCGATATTGGAGAATATCTAATATCTATTACATTGAAACAAAATCTAGAATACTATTATTTAAGCACGAACAAACGTATTTCGAGATGAAATTGATGCAAAATCAAATTGAAAAAACTTTAGCTTCCTCATTAGAAAACTTCATATCAACCCCATCTTAAATTCTTTGTCTTGTCAAAATTGTCAAAATAAAAAATGGGCTTATTTCATTTTGAAATACAACTGGTAGTGGGACAAATTTTTTGCAATTTCTGTTATTTTAACAAATATTTTATATTATGATTTTTTTTTAAACAAATGCAGAAATAAAAAAAATAACAACCTTATTTACGATAGAAATAACTTAAGTTAATAATTCAGGTAAGTAATGAAATTCTGTAGGTAATAAATGTGGTAGTATAGTAAAAAAAATTCTATATAAAACTCGGTGGAGAAGATTTATATAGCCTCGCGTTTACTACTTCCCTCGATGCTACGCCTCTCGGGTATAAAAAATCTCTTCGCTACCGTGATATAATCTACTATTTTCGTTTTTGTTATTTTTTTTTTGTTTATTTTCTCGCCAGGCAGTCTAGGAGCCCTCATGGGTGTATTCCCAGTCGCTGGTCCGGATATGGGCATCAAGTTTAATGTGGTCGGGCAGGAGGAATTCGAGTCGCGCTAGCTGCCTCATTAGGAGGTATGCAGCGCTAAACTGACATGTGTTTCGGTAATATTAATCATGTTTTTGGCTGTAATTAAAACGTGCCTTAATTAGGGGGTGTTTAGTTGTCGCTTCGTGTAACGACTGCGACATTCCTACACAATCGCTTGAAAATTTAGACGAAAACCAAACGAATTCACCGAGGGCCAAATCGGGCGCGTATTTATGCTCCAATCAACATTTTTGAACTCGTGGTATCCGAAATTAAAATGCTTCACTTACCGGCAACATAATGGTATTTATGTCGCACAATCGATGAATTTTTACGGCCGTTTTCGCGTTAACGCGACTGCACTCTGCTTCGATTAATTAAAGTCGGGATGGTTTCGGGGACGCGAGACGTCTGACAGAGATGCTCTTTTTTGCCAACGCGACATGCACGGTAGCATCTTAATTGCCATTTAAAATAACGCAGACTTCATCTCTTTGTAATTTAAATTTAAACACTGGGATCATTTCCCCTCATTTACAACCGCATTTACTCGCTAAAATATTGGATGCGAGACGTTTTCAAATGTGCTTGCGAACAAAATGGTCAAATTTCTAAAAAATCAAAAATTTGATTTGCTCTAAATTAGTCTATTGCCAAAATTATTGTTAAAAACAGATACAGAGTTCAAAAACAACCAAGCTTTAAACCAGGACAGTTTTGGAAATCTCAACTCTAAATTTTTTTTATTTTTGAGTACTTCTGCATTTAATGATGGTAACTATTATTTTCAAAAAAAAAAACTTATTTTAGGTAATTCTGGCTTCTAATGCCTTTGTCAACTGTTTTTTCAAAGCTCTTACTTTTTACAAAAAATTGTAAGTAAATTAAACTTTGCTCTAAATTAGTCTATTGCCAAAATTATTGTTAAAAACAGATACATCAAAGTTCAAAAATAACCAAGCTTTAAACCAGATCAG